CCCCCCCCCCCCGGCCTGTTTAGGATTAATATCTTTCAATTGTTGTAGATGGTGGGAAAAAAGTTAAAGTTTCTGCTTAATCTTGCATCATATGTTCATAGTGCATACGTATACTTGTATATACAATCCATTCTTATTATTGTAAAGGAATTAAGTTTTGCCGCAAACTCAAAATTTCACTCCCTGTCTGTGACACTTACGGATAAAACTTAGTAATGTAGCAAAGGTATTTGACAAAGATATTGGGATTGAAAAATAGAGTTTTGAAAAAAAAAATTATTTCCTTTAAACTGGAGAGTTCATACCTGTTTCTTTCTCGAGACTTGTAAATTATTAAGAACGCACCCATGACTTTTAGCGTTAACGATTCTAGACCGTGTTTTTCAACTAAATAATGTGCATTCTCAATTCGAATTATTCACATGGATGATTCGAGTTTGTCTAGTTTTAAACTTATTTAATCCCATCCTATTTGTAGATGGTGGGCACAGTTCGAATCAATCCCATGGCCGGATCCAGTTTGTTTAGTTTTAAACTTATATAATCCCATTCTATTTGTAGATGGTGGGCACAGTTCGAATCAATCCCATCATGACTGGATCCAGTTTGTCTAGTTTAAACTTATTTAATCCCATCCTATTTGTAGATGGTGGGCACAGTTCGAATCAATCCCTTGGCCGGATCCAGTTTGTCTCTTTATCACAACGTCAGTGGCTGGAGATGATGAAGTGTAAGTAGTGTTGTGGATTGAGTTGGTTCGTTTTTAGTTCGTTTATAGTTTGATTTAAGTTCATTTTTAGTTCGTTTAAAGTTCGATTTTAGTTCGTTTTTAGTTCGTGTTTAGTTCGTGTTTAGTTCATTTTTGGTTCGTTTTTAGTTAGTTATGAGTTCGTTTTTATTTCGTTTATCGTTTTTAGTTCGTTTAAGTTCGTTTTTAGTTCGGTTTTAGTTCGTTTTAGTTCGTTTTTAGTTCGTTTTTAGTTCGTTCGTTTTCTTCCACTGTGACATGAACTTTGACCCTGACAGAAACCTTATGAAAAAACGAGCCAAAACGATGTAAAAAGTGCAAAAACGATAGTTTTTGGGGTCGTATTTCTTTTTTAACATATAACTATTACAAAGTTTAATAAAAGCAAACTTTAACAGAATACAGTTTTGAAATCTCGGAAGTTTTACTAAAAGTATTATAAAAAATCACCAAAACGATGTGTAGCACTAAGTGGAGTTAATGAGAAATTAATATGAATCTAGTTTGAATATTTCCTTTTCATCTTTAATAACTGTGGTTTTTGTGGATATCGTTTTGAGTTCAGTTTCAATGATTTTTGGCTTTTAAAGGGACTGCACGTGTAATATTAAGTAATTCTTCGTGCAACTGTACTTTTTCAAGCATTGACTGATCAAGTATGAATTAAATATCAAAGTTTATGATTTTGAAAACTGATCATTTTAAATTGTGGCTTCTTCTCAAGAGTGACTTGGGCATTTCTACTTCAGGAAACCATATTATTGGTGGAATGATCAGAATTTAACACGGTTGAACCTAGAAAAACTACAATATCTTCCACATTATTGATCAGATAAGGATTTCAAGTGTACCGTTGTAAATCGGGCATTGTCATATTTGTATGGAAGTTTGATTTTATTTAAAAAGCAAACTTTTTCATCTCATAATGTAATCAAAGCAAACTTATCAAGCATAAAACTTAATTGGAAACAGGTGAAACATCTCAAATTTGAGACAATAAACTTTTCTCCGAAAACGATGGGAAAATTATTTTTAAAAGCTTCTTTTTCTTTGGAATTAATAAATTATATTTTAATATGCAAAAATCTGTTTAGTGGACGGCTGGTTAGACGTACGATAGCTAGATATATGAACATTGCACTCATTCAAACATTAAGGTGAGAAAACTTGACATTCAAATTTTTTTTTCACAGAGTAGAATATTATGTCACTAGGCTCTCCGGCGCTTCTCGTCCATCTTCTATTTAAATTGTTAACATTTTCTCTTTGTATACACTGACAATAAAAAAGTTCGCGGATTTGTTAAAAAAAATGACGTGTATTTTCAAAATTTTATGAAAATCGAATTTTGTTGGAGGCCAATTTTTGAAGTTTTCTTATCCACAAACTTTCCCTGGGGGCATGTGAGGTCCCACACAAAATTGGGTCCGATATAAAGTCTAAAAAGAGTCAAAGTGTATTGGGTGAAATAAAATCATTGTTTGACTAAAAATTACAACTTTAAAATCTTCAATTTAAAGTGAATATGTACGTTGTTCAAGAAGTAGTTCCAGGGCCCAGGTTTTAGAACGAAAATGTTTTTAAATATTTCCACCTAAGACATTTGATTTTTCAAACTATGAATTATGGCATATCAAACAATTACACTATCAGGTTACAAAGATTAAATGATTGGAAAATTTAACTTTACGGCGAATTTTTCTAAAACTTTCAAATTTATAGAAAACAAAGTCTCAAAATTTTGGACTTTATTCCAAAGACTTTTTATCTTGAAAACATTTTAATACCAAGTTTTAGAACTTATTTTCCAAAAACTTGTTTTAAGAGAAATTTTTTGGTGTTTACTAGGGGGGGGGGGGGGGGGTACGCTACATACAGGGTTACTGACAAAGGATGAAACTTTAATGACAATCTGGAATTCCATTTGAAGTGATTTAGTCCATTTCCATATATACAATTACACTTCCAAGCGTAAAACCCTCAAAGGATTTTTTCTGTAAACATTCCTAGCTTCATAAAAAATAAAAAAATAAAATTCCAGGAAAGCTATTTCACTTTTAAACGTTAGTTCAGCCGTTTTGAAGTTTATTGGATACAAACAGTATAGCCAATCATAGAGTAGATGGTGTTTAAGATTAAGTAATAATGATTTCTGTATCCAACCATGAATTTTAAAATTAAAGAATTATGACTGGAAGAATAAGTAATCTATACAGTCTTATCCAATGTGGAGGAACCTGTTTATCTTATAAACCTAATTTTCAAGAAAAAAACTTAGTAAAGTTGAGAGCTGTTACATTTGTAAGTAAGAACTATTTTCAACTCCTAGCAGGGTAAAGTTAAAGGAATTTCACTTCAGCAAGGGTTCTTTAGCACAATATTACAGGACAACTTGGTCAAGGGAACCCATAATAAAGATTGAAACATGTGAAAATTGTTGTTTGTCAGACTTTGTGGTCAATATAATCTTTTTCCGATTGCATGTATTTACACTTAGTTTACGGTGGATAGATCTATAATAAGCAGAATGTTTCTGAGTAAAGTTTTATTATATGGATATATGATATCACATCGCTGCAGATATGGACACTCAATTAAAAAATATATACGTACAATATCTCCGTAGAAAAGATGGCGGATATTGGAATATAGGATATAGGATGGTGGATATGGTAGAAAAGATGGTGAATATTGGAATATAGGATATAGTATGGTGGATATGGTAGAAAAGATGGTGGATATAGGAAATAGGATGGTGGATATGGTAGAAAAGATGGTGGATATAGGAAATAGGATGGTGGACATGGTAGAAAAGATGGTGGATATAGGAAATAGGATGGTGGATATGGTAGAAAAGATGGTGGATACAGAGTTTGGCATCCGTTTGTTTTGAACGAACTAAAATGTTGAGAATAAACGAAATTTTCCGTGAAAAAGGAGTTGTTCAGAAAAAAACTAACGATTGCCGAACGAAATGGGTCGTTCAGAGAAATGAAAAATTCATCATTTTTTTAAAAGGAACAATTTTTAATCGTTCTTACGAATGAACAATAGTTTTTTTACTGAACGAATGAATTTTCCAAAAGATTTAAAAAGAAAATATATTGGGTTTTTTTACTGAAGGGACGATTTTCTGGGAAAACGCATTTTAAAAATTATAGTTTTTTGTTAAACGAATGACTTTTTAGCAGATTTTAAGATAATTTTCGTTATTTTTAGTGAAAGAACGATTTGCTTTAACGAACGACTATACTAAACGATTATTTAATTAGAAAACGAACGAAATAAATGGAAAACGTAAGAAATTTTGAGAACGAACGATATCCTTTTCTTAAATGATTAAAAAAAACGAAATGGTTCGGTCACAAACGATGATCGAACCACATGAAAAAGTCGAACGTGGATACACGTTGACGTGGCTACACGTGGTTAAGGTATTTTCATCTGACGAAAATATCTAGTTTAATAGAGCGAAAATATAACTTTTGTTTTGTTAAGCTCGGGATCTATCTTATGCAGACTTACGGATAAATTTAATCCTTCTCTAAAGTCCTATGGTGGAAACACTCAGAAAGGACAACTTGAATAGATAAAAAAAAAACCTAAATTGAGGGATAAAGAATTTAAAAGTGCCCTTATTGGATATCAAGATTAAGCCTTCAAGATTTACGATACTTCGCACAAAAGTTCCAACCGCTGAGGAGAGGAGATTAGGGTTTATTTATTTTATATTCATCGTTTATATTTGTCTAACGCAAAATTACATGAGTATAGCTTAGCTATTCAGAAATAGAGTCTCTTAGTCCCAGTCTAGTGTTTTTCGTTTTCTAAAAATACGGTATGATTACAGCACTGCAAGGCTTGATAGATTTTCGCACATTGCTTTGAAACTAACACTGGGTTTGCATAATTTATGCAGTTTCTTTAGATTTTCTTTATTAGATGTTGAGATATATCCTCTTGAGCCATCTACTGTGACATATTAGGACAGCTTAGAAAAAACTTTATTGTAAATTATAGATTTTAAACTAAACTCTGAATTCCTGGGCAAATATATAAAGGAACTTTTGGGTGAAGTATCATTAATCTTAATATCCAATGTATTAGCACTTTTATATTTGAAGATACACGCTTGATCCCTCAAGAAAAGTTATCCTTGCAGGTTATGACGGAATATAAAAGACGTAAATAAAAGAATCTGTAGATCTGCATCAAATGGACTTCAATGCTTCAGTGCGATGACAGATTCCTTACTATTGTTGGTTTACAATAAAACTAGTTTTTCAGTAAACTGTGAAACAAATTCAACCTAAAATCTATTGTATAAAGCTATTTGTTAGCTATATATAGATGTTAGCTACAGCTGGCCGAACGGCTGGACCAAATTGGCTTGCATTATTTTAGGAAATACAATTTTAATATGGAATTTTGTTTTTTTCATAGTGTTTTTGCAATTCCACGGGCAACGCCGGACACTTCAATTAGACATATTTTTCAAGAATGATCAGTGTGCCAGTAAAGAAGAGGTTCCCAACAACACAACACCTAGTGGACGCTGGTCTTTTACTAGAGGCTGAAATGGAGTCCATTGACAAGATGGAGGCTAATTCTGTTAAGGTAAATGCAGTCCATTTACAAGATGGAGGCAATTATGTTCAGGTAAAGGATTTGAGTCTTTGCCACAAACTTGAATATTCCATTCTCTTTATCTTTGCAATCTGGCGGTGTAAACCTTTGATATTTCAAACTTAGATTACATGATCTAACAGAGTTTATAGTTTGAAATATCTAAGGTCTACGACATTGGGTTGCAAAGATAGATGTATTAAAATATCAGAGTTTGTGGGAAAAACTCAATTCCTTTAGACATTTCGAAAGAAAACACTCAGAATTGAAAAAAGTTTGTTGTGAAGTAATGCTTAGTGAAAAAATACCTTTTTAGAAAAGTTTCATATAGCTTTACTTGAGATTGGGAACCAGCCTTGCCTGTAAACTTAACTTACTTTATGAAAATCAACTTGGAATATTTTAAACTAACTACAACGAAGTGCATCCTGTCTGATTGGAATATGTTCAATCATATTTTAATCTCTTATTCAAAAATTCGTCAAAATTTGTGAGAGCCATTATATATTTAAATATTCACAAATCCGTCAAAAATTTGTGAGAGACTTTATATATTTAAATATTCACAAATCTGTAAAATATTTGTGAGAAACTTTATATATTTAAATATTCACAAATCACAATGTTTAGCTTAAAAAGACGTTGGAAAGAAGAAATTCGAAATAAGGTCCAAAGTTAAGATTAACTTGAAACTGGGATATCTAGTTTACCGTGAGTTGTGGAATAAAGTTAATTTAAGACGTGGATTTAAAGGATTGCGACAATTTTAAATATTCTCATTCAATGTTCAATTTTCCAAAAAATAACATAAATCATAAAAATAAAATATGAGGTTAAGGATTTGGATTTTAGCGATAATTCGGCTGATATTCTAATCTATTGAGGTTGGAATCCTCTAAAATCTCATTGTAAAATAATAAACATGAAAGGGTTGATATTTCTAAGTTTCTAAGGGTTTCTAAGTTGTCTAATACTGTGTAATATTGTCTAATATTATTTGAAATTGACAAATATTGTTTGAAATTGTCTAATATTGTCTAAAATTGTAAAATTGTCTAATATTGTTTAGCATCCTAAATATTGGATGAGCTTGGTCTGGGCTGGAGCTATAGTGACGAGGGCAAAGAGAGAAGGACGAATCACCGACGAATTTGCGACCAAGACGATTATTGACGAAATCAACAAGTTTGGGACGAAATGCGCAGGTAGACAGATTATACAAAGATTTAATTTGTCTAAAATTTCAAAAATTGAAGACAAAGTTATATTTTTTTATATTCTGATTTATAGTTCATAAGGCTTTCCAACCCAATGTAGTAGACCTAGATATTTCAAACTATAAAATTAAATAATCTAACTTAAAAATACCTAAGTTTACACCAATAGGTACTTTGAACAGATATAGGGATTAGAAAATTTGAGTTTGTGGCAAAGACCCAATTTCTTTCCAATAAAGTTTTGCATACAAAATCTCTAGCACGTTTTAAAATTCTTGTCCAATCTTTGAAATATGTCTTTCCAGAATAATTCTTGTCAACCGATCGTAAAAATTGGTATTTACAGGACAATTCTTGTTCAATCTCTCAAATCTGTATTTCCAGGACAATTCTTGTTCAATCTCTCAAATCTGTATTTCGAGGACAATTCTTGTCCAATCTCTCAATTCTATATTTCCAGGAAAATTCTTGTCCAATCTCTCAAATCTGTATTTCCAGGACAATTCTTGTCCAAGTCCAATCTCTCAATTCTATATTTCTAGGACAATTCTTGTCCAATCTCTCAAATCTGTATTTCCAGAACAATTCTTGTCCAAGTCAGATCTCTCAATTTTATATTTCCAGGACAATTCTTGTCCAATCTCCCAAATCTGTATGTCTAGGACAATTCTTGTCCAAGTCCAATCTCTCAATTCTATATTTCCAGGGCTTCTCAACTACGACTGGGTTTCTGTACCTCTAGTTTACACACAGGTACCTTTACAGTAAATGATTAATGGACTGATTTATTAATTTATTACTTGATTGATTAATTGATTGATTTATTAATTACTTGATTGATTAAGTAATTACTTGATTGATTGACTATTGCAGGTTGTTACCCTAGCTGTGTACTCTTACTTCATCTCCTCTCTTATGGCGCGACAATTTCTAAGGTATTTAAAAGATAAAATTTTCACAATTTTAGGGGTAAGGAAAGATAAACTTTAAAGGTAGACATCTTTGTCACAAACTAAAACTTTTATATTTGCAACCAGACGGTGTACACCTTGATATTTTCAGCTTATATAATGACATTTGTTTGCAAAGATATAGGGATAAAAAAATATTGCTGGAGCATGAAGACTCAATTCTTTTAAGGTGACTTCTTACAAAATGTGCCCTGGACCCCCCTATGAATTATGGCATATCAAACAATTACACTATAAGGTTACAAGCTCANTTGTCTTTTTCAAATTTTTCAACATGAACCTTCTCTTAGTATTTCATCTTAAAAGTACAATCATTTTTAAGAAGTGAATGAAAAATAAAGCCTTATTATACTATTATGAAGACCTGTAAGTGGCTCCGGGAATCTCACTAAATTTTCTTTTCTTCTCCTAGCTTTGTTATTCTTTTACTCAATACATCTTTTGTTATTGTCATTGGCTCAGCAACTAAACAATGTTAAAGTACTTTCAAACTTATATAATTTTTAACTATAGATACACTTTTGAAAATTTTTAAATTTTGATTTTAATTTTAAATTGTACTGAGGGTACAAACTTAGAAATGGGCACCGTTTTTGAAACGATCGTAATTTTTGAGAATGAATGAAATTTTTTGTGAAAAAAGAAATTATTCAGAAATAAATGAAAGATGGACGAACGATATGAGTCGTTAAGAGAAATGAAAAATTAACGTTTTTGAAATGAAGGAAAAAAAACGAATGATTTAAAATCTTTCAAATGGTTTTGAAGGGTTTTTACTGAAAGAAAAAAATTTTCGAAAGATTAAAAAAACAATCGTATTTTTCTTAAAAAGAGATTTTACACACTTTTTAAAAAACGATAGTCTAACCAACTAAGGTTTTTTAAAAAAATTTTTGGAGAAAAGTCCTTGTTTTTTTGAAGAATTAATTTTTCTGAACAAATGAATTTACTTACCGATCTGTTAATGAGAAAACGAAATAAATGTATGGAAAATGAACGATAATTTTGAGAAGCAACTAGATAAATTTTTTTAACCATATACAAAAAATAACAAAAAGGGCCACCCACAAACGATGAACGAACGAAATGAAAAACAAGCTGAATTTGGCCATCTCTACGGTCATACTATAGACATTTACTAGACTTTTTGAAATTCTTAACTTAATTTTAAATGTTAAAGTACAATCAAACTTTTATAATTTTAAACTATACACTTTAGAAAAAGTTTAAAGTTAAATTTAAATGTTAAAGTTGTAGCAATCCTTAAACTTTCATAATTTCAAACAATAGACACAAACTTTAAATTCCTAGTTAAAGATGATCCAACCCTTACAGAGTAAATAAATAGGTGTTTGTTCCACACTTTACAGACATACAATTTGTATTATAGACTTGAAAATAACTCATTAATAAATAGTTGAGTGGAATAACAATGCATGATTGCACACACACAATATATTTACATTATAACTATACAAAAGATTAATGTTTGAAGCAACTAAAGTTGATTTAACTACACATGACATTTGCCTAAGAACAAATATATTTTCATTCGACTCTTCTCAGTCAGTGAGTCTCAACGTACTTTGGAACCCATTTTCACCATTTTCACCATTTTCACCATTTTCACCATTTTCACCCTTTTCACCCGTTAAATGAAGATTTTTTTATTTGATATTTCATACTTTTTAGTTGAAAATAATTTTTAATATTTTAAAGTATATTTTTACACTATTTCGACGGATTTTGAATTAGAAACCAAAATCTGATTGAAAAAATGTCAAAATAGATTTAAAAATTCTAAGTGTGATTTCAAAGGAATTGAGCCTTTGCCACAAATTCAGTTTTTGTAAAACCTATATCTTTGCAACCTTATGATGTAAACCTTTTATATTTTAAACTTACATTATTTGATCTAAAAGCATTCTTAGTTTGAAATAATAAAGGTTTACGACATTGGGTTGCAATGATATTGAAATTAGAAAATCAGAGTTTGGGACAAAAACTCAATTTCTTTGTTAACTTTTTCTTTTTATTATTAGTGATGAACCGGATATGGTGGTTCCCGTCTTTACAGTTCTACAGTTCGTCTTCTACATGGGCTGGTTCAAGGTTAGATATATCTTCTACATGGTTCAAGGTTAGATTTATCTTCTACATGGGCTGGTTCAAGGTTAGATATATCTTCTACATGGTTCAAGGTTAGATTTATCTTCTACATGGGCTGGTTCAAGGTTAGATTTATCTTCTACATAGGCTGGTTCAAGGTTAGATTTATCTTCTACATGAGCTGATTTTAGGTTAGGTTTATCTTCTACATGAGCTGGTTCAAGGTTAGGTTTATCTTCTACATGAGCTGGTTCAAGGTTAGATTTATCTTCTACATGAGCTGGTTCAATGTTAGATTTATCTTCTACATGGGCTGGTTTTAGGTTAGGTTTATCTTCTACATGGGCTAGTTCAAGGTTAGATTTATCTTCTACATGGGCTGGTTCAAGATTAGATTTATCTTCTACATGAGCTGGTTTTAGGTTAGGTTTATCTTCTACATGAGCTGGTTCAAGGTTATATTTATCTTCTACATGAGCTTTTTCAAGGTTAGATTTATCTTCTACATGGGCTGGTTTTAGGTAAGGTTTATCTTCTACATGGGCTAGTTCAAGGTTAGATTTATCTTCTACATGGGCTGGTTCAAGGTTAGATATATCTTCTACATGGGCTGGTTCAAGGTTAGATTTATCTTCCACATGAGCTGGTATTAGGTTAGGTTTATCTTCTACATGGGCTGGTCTTAGGTTAGGTTCATCTTCTACATGAGCTGGTTCAAGGTTAGATTTAGTTGAGACTGCCAACGCAATTTAAATGATGGAATTCCCTTTAAATATCCACTTGAGAAAGATATTTTTGTTTTTAAAAATTGAAAAATGTAAAATTATGAATATTTCCTTCCTTTCAATTTATAGAAACCTTGTATAAATCTGCAAATTACTTTTAAAAAGAATCCACAAATAAAGTTTAGTAACTTTTTAAGATAAAAATATATGGAGACTTATTATAGGATTATGGATATTGTTGTGAATATAATAAGCCATTCTGTAAACAGAGTGTTGCTTGTAATTAGGTGAAGAGTCAAGTTAACCATATGTGTTTGACTTTATAAATAAACCATTTCGATATATCAAATTAAAAACTCTTTGCTATTTTAATTGCATTATATTCTTGATAAAGAAAACAACTAAAACTTAATTTGGAGATTTGTAAAAAAAATCGTTCTCATATATTTGGGAAATGCCGGAGTAAGATTTTATTGACAATCCCTTCTCTTCTAGGTGGCCGAGGTTCTGATTAATCCCTTTGGCGAGGACGATGACGATTTCGAGGTTAATTTAATGATTGATCGAAATATCCAGGTTTCCTATCTCATCGTCGATCAAATGCATCAGGTAGATGATATTCAGAAGTCTTATAACTATTTTTTACTACTTGGATTTCATCTTCGATTTTAACTTATTATTGTTGCTATTTCTGTGGATTTTGAAAAATCGAAATATTTTAAAGGCAAAGGAATTGAGTTTTTGCCACAAACTCTGATGTTCTCATATCTATATCTTTGCAACTCAATATCGAAGATCTTTGATATTTCAAATTATGAATTTTGTTAGATTAGGCTAAAGGTGTACACTATCAGGATGCAAATATATAATGATTACAAAAGTTGAGTTTGTGGCAAAGACTCAATTCCTTTAAATTCTGACCATACATAAACCTTCCCTCGGGTCATGTGAAGTCTTCAGCTATTTAGACTTTTATTGGATACAAAGATCCTGACAGGCAAGCAAAGAACATGTATTTGTAGATTTTGAACCGATTTATACCGTGCATAATGTTAAGAATCTAGTGTTAATTTTCAATTTTGATTCATTCATTTTGGAAAGTTGTGAAAGCTGAAAAGAAAAAATGCAATAACATTATAATGAGGATTTCGCGAAATTTACAATAAAATTGAGTTTATATTGTTCAGGAGCATCCAGAATTAAGTTTATATTGTTCAGGAGCATCCAGAATTCAGTTTATATTGTTCAGGAGCATCTAGAATTGAGTTTATATTGTTCAGGAGCATCCAGAATTAAGTTTATATTGTTCAGGAGCATCCAGAATTAAGTTTATATTGTTCAGGAGCATCCAGAATTAAGTTCATATTGTTCAGGAGCATCTAGAATTGAGTTTATATTGTTCAGGAGCATCCAAATTGAGTTTATATTGTTCAGGAGCATCCAGAATTGAGTTTATATTGTTCAGGAGCATCCAGAATTGAGTTTATATTGTTCAGGAGCATCCAAATTGAGTTTATATTGTTCAGGAGCATCCAGAATTAAGTTTATATTGTTCAGGAGCATCCAGAAACGAGTTTATATTGTTTAGAAGCATCCAGAATTGAGTTTATGTTGTTCAGGAGCATCCAGAATTGAGTTTATATTGTTTAGGAGCATCCAGAATTGGCTAAAGATCACTTTTGGGATGAAAAAATTCCGCATCATCTTCCTTACACAGCCGCTGCAGAACAATTCAGGTTAATTTAATCATAACTTTGGGTAAAGTCTTCCTAACCCTGATAAATATTCCAAACCCTGATATATGTTCCAAACCTTACTATATGGTCAAACCCCTTATTATGTTCCAAACCCTGATATAATTCCCAAACCCTGATATATGTTCCAAACCCTGATATATGTTCCAAACCCAGATATATATTCCAAACCCTGACATATTTCCCAAATCCTGATTTATGTCCCAAACTCTGAAACATATTCCAAACCCAGATATATATTACAAATCCGGATATATGTTTCAAGTCTTGATAAATGTCCCAAATCCTGATATATGTTCCAAACCCTGATATATGTTCCGAACCCAGATACATTTTAAACCCTGATATATTTGTCAAACCTTGATATATTTCCCAAACCCTGATATATGTTCCAAACCCTGACATATTTCCCAAACCCTGATTTATGTCCCAAACCCTGATACTATTCCAAACCTGCAGATATATATTACAAACCCGGATATATGTTTCAAGTCTTGATATGTGTCCCAAATCCTGATATATGTTCCAAACCCTGATATATTTTCCAAACCCAGATATATTTTAAACCCTGATATAATTGTCAAACCTTGATATATTTCCCAAACCCTGATATATGTTCCAAGCCCTGATATATTTTCCAAACCCAGATATATTTTACAAACCCGGATATATGTTCCAACGCCTGATATATTTCCCAAACCCCGATAGACAGATATTTGTCCTAAATCCTGATATATTTTCCAAACCCTGAAATATTTCTAAAAACCCTGATTTATGTCCAAAACCCTGATACATACGTCCAGACAAATTCAGAAAGTTGCAATATTCGACTCGGATAGTAAAAAATCAATTTTATTCCAAACAATTCATTCAGATATTACAACCTATAATCATCGATTTATTTTTCGACGCATTCGTAATTCGTATATAGTTTTGTGTACTGTGTAGACTTAATCTGTTTAATTGACATATTTCTTCTATCGTCTAATTAGCCGCCAATTAGCAATTTTGTTATACTTCAAGGTTAGATTTATCTTATGTTGTCCAAATATTGATATTTACAAATATTCTGATCCATATTTGTTTTGCTCTGTATATATAGATGTATCCTGGACCATGCATGTTTGCTTAATTCTGGTCCATATTGGACTAAATATATATCTACATATATCCTGGACCTTGTTTGTTTAGATTTGCTCCATATATTGGACTATATATATACATATATATTTATATACATATCCTGGACGATTTTTGCTTAGATTTGGTCCATATAATGGAGTATATATATATATACATATATCCTGAACCATGTTTGTTAAGAACTGGTCCATATATTGGACTATATATATATACATATATCCTTGACCATGTTTGTTAAGAACTGGTCCATATATTGGACTATATACATATATATATATATACATATATCCTGAACCATGTTTGTTAAGAACTGTTCCATATATTGGACTATATATATATACATATATCCTGAATTATGTTTGTTAAGAACTGTTCCATATATTGGATCAACTGCAGTGGTTGAGGTGTCCCCAGATCAAGCAGAGTTCGTTACTCTACAAACTATACTAGAGGTAGGAATACAGTTGTACCCTTAATTCAAGAGACTTTAATAACGACCTGAAACTCGTTCTTTATAGAGTCCAGTATAAAAAAGACATTGAATGAAAACCTTATTTTTATTTTATATGTAAAACTTAATTCTGAGAAATGACCCAAAAGATGGTTTTATTGGATTTTTTTGTGTGATTTTACAAATATGGGTTATTAAATAATGCTTTTCCCTGTTTTCTATGACGTTAACTATACTCTGAAAAAATCAGGATTAGTGTTTTTATATAAAATATTACAAAAATGTTTACAGGATACCTGGTTTAGGTGGAAAATATATAAATAATGTTAATTATGTTCTAAACTATTTTATGATATCAAGGGAAAAAATCCCCGAAACAATTTTTTGTTGTGAAATCGATTTAAAATTGTTTACTTTCTAGATTAAGTTCCATAGTTTTTATGAACATTTTTTGATGAATAAATCTCCGAAAATATCTGTACAAAAATGCTTCAAATATTACAAAATCTTACAAAAATGCTAAAATGGATCTTTCTGTTAAAACAATTTTGTTATTCAAGATGTAATTCATAGTAGGGAGAATTTGTAGACAGAAAATAGAGTTTTGATTTTTTGTAATTTCTGTTTTCTAATTAATTTCTGAAGATAATATAATTTGGTGACAAAAAACCGTTTCGAGGATTTCTATGAACCTTATCCTTTTTTTTCATTTTGGCAATTTCATAATATTTTTCAAAGCATCGCTAATCCCGTTTTTCTCTTCTTTTATTTCAAGAATCTCTAAACCCGGCTTCTAGATCTTATGTGATATCGATACTTTTGTTTTTATAATTGGTGATATACAAACCAATGTAATTTTACATCCAATCCAGCCAAGGTCAATCAATGAATCTAGATTTGATTTTTTGTGTTTTTAATCAGAAACCCCTAGCTGTAGACCAGTTAAGAGCTATTTTCTTTCTCTTTGAGACGTATTTTTGATGAATATTTTGTTCTTCAAGGAACCTCAAAGCAGAAGTGATAGACTTTCTATAAACAGTGGTTTTCTGAGAACCATGATGGGAGAACTTATGGGTAGTACTAAATCAAGATCCAGTCTTACGGTTGGAACAGATTCAAACTACTCGGCCCGTCGTCTTCCTCTGTTGGGTACCTTGTTTAAACGCGGGAGACTTGGTTCCTGCCAAAGTATAGCGTCTCACAAATCCTCCAAACTGTTCCCGCCTATTTTTGGCGCCAAGAAAAAAGCAGCTTCTTCAGGTAAACTTTTTTGAGAATTTCATCACTCCAATCAAATAAATTACTATCGATCTGTAGGTGATGAAAATATTATTGGATTTTTGCCAATTTTGTATCAAAATATATAAAAAAAATGTAAAATCTAACAAAATGTTGTCTTATTATTTTTATCTTTAAACTATAAATTTGAAACAATAATGGACTGTTTTCTAAGTCTTCTTTTAGTTTCAAAATTTCAAAAATTCTCGAAAAAAGTCTAGAAAATTCTAGAAATGGAAGAAATTACACAAATTTCCGTTATGATTATGCTGAATGGTGATAAATCTCGAATGTGAAAATTGGGTAAAAAAAGATTTAATAATATCGTTTTAATTTAGAGATGTCACGAAAATGGAAAAACAATCCTCGAATATTCTCTAGGTAATTTTTTTTAATAAAACACTGTCAGCATTTTTACTTAAAAAGGATCTGTATAGAGGTGCTATTTAAATAAACCCTCTATGTACTAAGTGTCACGGTCGATCATATTGGCACCTTTAAAACCTTTGCCTGATCAAGGTTCAATGACTGAGATATACATTATTTTCCAGTCCTACATTATTTTCCAGCACTACATTATTTTCCAGCCCTACATTATTTTCCAGCACTACATTATTTTCCAGCACTACATTATTTTCCAGCCCTATAATATTTTCCAGCCATACATTATTTTCCAGCCCTACATTATTTTCCAGTCCTACATTATTTTCCAGTCCTAAATCATTTTCCAGTCCTACATTATTTTCCAGTCCTACATTTTTTCCAGCCCTATATTATTTTCCAGCCCTACATTATTTTCTAGCCCTACATTATTTTCCAGCCCTATATTATTTTCCAGCCCTACATTATTTTCCAGCCCTACATTATTTTCCAGCCCTATATTATTTTCCAGTCCTACATTATTTTCCAGCCCTACATTATTTTCCAGCCCTACATTATTTTCCAGCCCTACATTATTTTCCAGCCCTATATTATTTTCCAGTCCTACATTATTTTCCAGCCCTACATTATTTTCCAGCACTATATTATTTTCCAGCCCTACATTATTTTCCAGCCCTACATTATTTTCCAGTCCTACATTATTTTCCAGCCCTACATTATTTTCCAGCCCTACATTATTTTCCAGACCTACATTATTTTCCAGTCCTATATTATTTTCCAGCCCTACATTATTTTCCAGACCTACATTATTTTCCAGCCCTACATTATTTTCCAGTCCTACATTATTTTCCAGTCCTACATTATTTTCCAGCTCAACATTATTTTCCAGTCCTACATTATTTTCCAGTCCTACATTATTTTCCAGCACTACATTATTTTGGATTCTCTTTAAAAGTGAAGGAAAAAAATGTTATGAACATATTTCTTTTCAGGTAAAAAAACGGCAATATCTTCCTTATTGTTACTCAGATGAAGGTTTAAAGGATACCGTTGAGAATCGGATACGCAATTTTATATTTAGAGGGGTACTTTAAAGGGACCGTTCACTTTTTTGGGTAATTTCAGGGTAAACTAAACAGCCTAAGCGCTATTCATCGGTAATAGTCTTACTTTTCAAAGACAACTGTGTCCTGATAAAAAGCCGATTTTTCGTTCAGAATTTGAGCGCAAAGGAACGGTTCCTTTCTATACACACTATTTGATGTTTTTTTCAGTATGTTGTGAATCAAAATAAATTCCGAATATAAAA